AGAATCAGAGCCAGAGAGCCCAAGAGACGGGGCCTGAGAACTATCGCAGCATAGTCAGAGCGAACCATGTCAGCGACAGCACAACTGGGAAAACTATAAGACCCACCCACTCACTCCTGAACTAGCCAGTAAAGGAGTTAGCAAAAGAGTTAGCGAAGGAGTGAAGGAGCTAACAGAGGAGTTAAGGAATCTGCAAAAGAGTTAAGAAAAGACTTATGCCCCTCCATCCCACTTCCTGCTTATGTACCGAGCATGACGTGCTATGGAATGAAATACCCCTTCAGCCAGTTTGGGTCAGCTGTCTGAACTGTGTTTCCCTGCACATGCTTCCTGTAGTGAGAAATTTGGGAATGCAGCTGCAGTATCAGAAGCTGAAAAAGACCTTGAATTGGTGCAAGCACTCCCCAGCACCAACTAAAAGGACACCTTACCGGTGCTATTCTCAGGGTAAATCCAGAAACAGAGCTTCATACCAGCCACTGTGAAGAAAGTTAACTCTTTTCTGACTAAAACCAGCACAAGAGTTCTCTGGATTTCTTGTACTCCATGGGTTTCTTGTTCCTTAAGCATCTAGGCTCAACTTTGTCCTGTGCTGGGCCATTTTTTGTGGGTTTTTTTTTGTTTTGATTCTTGCTGATGCATATTCTTCCAACAGTCTTTGGTTGGAGGAAAACTGTTTAATATGCATTCCTCAGGTAGAGAACTAAGGATCAGAGATTAGGTGATTATCTCAGAAGATGATATTATTGCTAAGGAGAAAGGTATTCTCCATCTCTTGAACATAAGTGAATGAAAACCAAAAGCCATCTTGCTTCTTGTTTATTTACAAGAAGGATTTTATTGCTCTGCCTGTTTTAATACGAGGATGACTACAGCCTGTGCATGATGTTTTGACTAGAAAGCATGTGTTGTAGCTGCAACTTTAGATGCCCAACATGAATTTTTTAAATAACTTACAGCCCTATTTTACATAATTCTGTGCTCTAGTTTTCATATATTTCATATATTTAATTTTATTTTAATGGATATTTATAGGCATAAATTTAATAAACTTTGAGTCAGAAATATGAGAAGAAAAACCATATTCATCTTGTAGAATTATATTGTCCTTTGTTTCCCAGCACCTTGGAAGCAGATCTACCTTGTCTAATATATGTTAGGAAAAAGAAAATGTACAGTCAGTATTCCCTTTTTTCTCTGATTCTCTGTCTTTTTTTTTTTTTTTTCTTCGCCCTCCTCAAGTGATTCTTTATTGTCGTCTTGATTTATTCTGTGAACATCTCAGGAAATGAATTGGAAGTAGTGGTGGTTTGGTTTTTCTTTTAATTTGTAAACCTGCAAATCTTGGCATTGTATAAATTCATAGGAGAATGTTTCAATTGTTTTCACAATCCTTGAGTTGATAAATCACTTGGGGAAAAAAGAAAGGTTCAGTTAACTAAGATCTGTTCATTACAAAGAGAAACTTCAAGTTGCATCTGTATCACATTGTTGGTTTATTTTTTACTTTTGTTTAATACTTCAGTGTACTGGAAGAAATCCCAGAATATCCAGTGTGTTGTCAGACTGTGTGTTTATTTCAGAAAGAGTTCAGGTAATTTTTACATGGGAACCTAAGAAAAGTGAGGGATGCAGTGATTTCTTCTGCTGGTATTCCTGGGGACTTTCATGGTTGCTTTTTCCCTCCCCTCCCCCCCTTTTTCTTTTGTGTTTCTCCATAGTGTTTAGAGAAGTTTGGACTGTTGTTCTAATCCTTAAAGAGAAAATGTTTTATATTTATCTAAAAATACACTGAAGATTCCGCTGTTTCCTAGAACTGAAAAAGAGGCTGAATTAGTTTATAACTTCTGATTTACATTCTGCTATTTCAGACTTGATTCACTCTTCTGTTCTCAAATCTGTTTTGTGTTCTGTGTAGTCCTTGGGACAGAAAAAATATGTTCAGCTCTTTTCCACACACACACACCCCTCCCCCCCCACAAGAATGCCAAACGCTGTAGAGGTAATGTTAGAGAGTGGAAATAGCAAGTCATATCTATAAATACAGCTTGCCTTATTTATTACTCTTAATAACCTTGACTCTTGACTGAAAAATAATAATTTTCAAAAAACAGAGCATTATTTTACAACAGTTAGATATTCTTTTTCTTTCTTTTGAAATATTTTAACTTTCTGCAGTGTTTTCTGGTAATGGTTATGGTGTAAGTTAGTGTAATTTTTTTCATCAATTCCCATAACCTAAATCTGTGGTAAACTGAGTATGGGTAGATCCCTGGCAAACAGGTAATCATGGTAAGGTTAAAATATCTCCTTTCTAATTTCTGGTTCAAGATTATAGGCCCATTTTTATAGGTGACTTAATATTGACAGTCTAGAAAGTGTAGTAATAAAAAATATTCTGTAATGGTTTCCTATTACTGAAATCAATGAGATGCTTAAGATAGTGACAAATACTGACTTCCTCTGTGTCTTTGTAGTCACTATTGCATTCTCATTAATAGTATAAATGATTCTTTTCTTCCCCATGCTTACACAAATTAATTCTCCTGTTCGTTGTGCTTAATGTGTCTGCAGAGATCATGAATAACCTTGTACTACTGGTCTTTGTTCTGTTGGTCTCTTCGTGCAGAAAAACATCATGGAGCAATAAGTAAAATTTTGGTCTCTGTTACCCACTAATATTTGTAGTTCATGAATTTGAGAAACAAGTCAATGTCAGTAATTCTCCTGTAACTAATATTTCTCTTTAAATATTCTCTCCTTTAAGCTCTCCACATGTACAGTTCACATTGACTTCAAGGGTGTTCCATAAATTAAGAAGCTGTGAATTTTGCATATGTGATGAATGGTATATACACCCTATTTGTCTCTTGTTCTTTAACTGAAATAATGAAAATGGAAAAACAGAGTTTATGTGAAACTGAGTGTTGTCCTCTTCTTTTCTTTTTCTTCTGTTTTGAGATCGACACTTTGCCATGGTGAACTCTGCAGGTTTGGTTCTTTATCTCCTATCTATTACATTTTTTAATTTTCATTCCAGTTTTACATCTCCTGAATTTCAGATATTTATCTCCTGAAAATAATGATTTATTTTTTTTTTCTCTCCTTGTTGTGCATCTTGTTGTTTCACTCTCCTTCAGCGAATTGTAACTGCAGTATAGTAAAGTGAGGAGTCTCAGTAAGAAATGTCTTCAAAAGCAGGACCATATCCCAACCACCTATTTTAAAGTCAACTTTAGATACAGTGATATTATGGTGCCTAAAATTTTGTTATGTGGTTACAGCAAAGTGATTCGTATAAACAAATGGCAACAGGATTCCCAACCCTGTAACTGAGGAGGATAAATGACTATTAACTGACATTCAGAGGGCTTGCATGTTAAGTGACAAGCTGAACAAAACTAGTTCAAAAGAAACACTAGGCACAGAGAGGGTTCTGAAACCCTGCCCTTCTCTGGCACTTGGGCACTTGATGCAGGTACCTTACGTAATTTGGCTCACTCAGATTCAGAACCGAAGTTCGTTTTTTGAGGATGATAACCTAAATAAACATTAAAAATCACATAATTAATCTATGCATGGCATATGGCTGTTGTCGGTGCCCACAGTTTGCCTACTATGGTGATATTAGCATTGGTCAGGAACAAGGAAGTCTTTTATCTAAAACTAGTCCATGGAGTTCAAACTTGCTGTTTTCCAGAGATGTAGCTTAGTTAGTGGGCTAAGGGCTAGTTTTTGATTAGAAATCCTCTGCCCGTTTTCTTCAGGGTGATCTGCCATACGTTCTGGAATGCAAGACCTGGAGGGCTGGTCAGAGCATGCAAGAGGAAATCTGACTCTCTATATATACATATAGCTTATGACACCCACCCCAGAGTCATGGTATATTATGGCTGTGTAGGTTTCCAGCCTGAATATTTTAATTTGGTTTTCAAAAAGCAAGAGGATGCTTCTGTGTGCCAGATTTTCTTATGAGGACTGAATTAGCAAAGTAAGAATTGCTCTTCCATAAGGAAGATATTGTCAGATGTTTGTTAAATAAGAACAAATTGCAAGAGAATAAAATATGATCTACATTTGCTTAATCGAAAGAAGAGCAGTAGGTTTTGAGAAATCTATAAATATCTGCATCAAAAGATAGGTTGCATTGCTTGGTGATTGGAGTAGGTAATTTTAGGTATGAAAGCTATGTGATCTGCTTACTGTTGTAGTAAAGTACACGTAGATTTTTCTTTTGCACAAATAATCGTATATATTAACAAATCCCATGCCCAAAGCCCTTAAAAATCTAATATTCTAAGAGGACAGGCTTTATATCTTTTCAATTATGAGATGGTAGAAGAACCAAAGATTATAAAATAAATGAGAAATTACTTCTTATATGGTTTTCATTCTAGAACTATACCTTAGCATGTGCAGGTATTTTCTCCAGCATCAAATCCAGGTTTTAGTATCAGGAACAAAAGTGCATTGCAACTGCATGGACCTTTAAGGAAAATAGGCAACTTGGTAAATCTTGTATTTGACACGTTATTTTACAGAGTTGTCTGCTTGTTTGTGGTTTGGTTACCCACCCCCCCATAAAAAAAAAATGCTATGTATTTTCAGGTTGGATGAGTTAATTGAAACATTTCTTGAAGATAATGATCCTGATAGCACTCTGGATGTTGATGCTGACATGCGCAAGATCAAGTATTGCTTCACTCACATGAAGGTATTTTTTAAACATAGATTGAAGTTCTGCTGGCACCGAAAGTAACTTGATAACATTCATGGTTGAAAAGTGTCAAAAGAAATGCAATACAGTAGAGAGACATTGGAAAAGGGTAAAACATTTCAGCTGTGAAGTGCGTGAACAACTGATGTAAATTTGAAGTTTAGTTAGAAAAATGCAGCAACATTTTGTGGAAACCCTAGCAAAACCATGCAATAAATTGTGAGAGACCACTGGAAATTACTGGAATAAATAAAAAATAAAGAGTAAAACCATCATATCCCTCAGTCTGTTAAAACACCGTAAGGACAGTTAGTGTAAGCCCTTCTAAATCATCGGGAAAACAAGATACACTTAGACTAGGAAGAACAAGGGAAAGTAATATAACATAATATATACTTTTCTGTATTTTGGCATATAGCTTTCCCATATAATAATGTATACATTCCTGATCTTTCTTTGTTGCTAATAAATAATTAGGTTTTAGTTGTATTGATAATAGTGAAAGCTCTGTGGTACTAAACAGCACTGGAATTTATGTGTAGAAAGAGTAAAGTAAATTGTATGCTTTGTAGTGAAGACCAACAAATAAAACTTGTCCCATACTTGACACAATGAATACAAGTTGACAGTCAGTTGGTGGCAGGATTTTGTTCTATCAAGAGCCTAGAAAGGCCTTACCCTTTCTATCATAGCTAGACAGTCTCAGAGTAGAATAAATATGTAGCTGGAGATAAAGTTAAGAGTGTGCTCTTTTGTTTCTCCTAATAGCATCTAGTGAATCATTCGAAGATTTCTGATAAAAAACTGCTCTCACAATGCAACTCTGAAGAAAATGATACTATCAAAGAAGCAGAAGAAGAATTGAAAACATTGAAAGAACTTCTGCAGCAAAGAGACAATGAAATCAGTATCCTTTGTGAGGAAAAAATTAGTATTTGGGTTTGAGCTGTTCTGGCTACAGTGGTTTCTGTGTGTATGATAGGCATTAGCAGTATGGAAGCAAATTCTCTCTACGGACCCCACTGTGTTAAAGCACTTACTCAGTTCCCAACTTTTATGTGACAGGACTCCTGCTTTGCAGCTGCTTCTATTTCAGTTGTGACCCAAACTAAAATCCTGGATCCCAGCACCACTTAGGTTTAGAACAGTCCAGCCAAGATCCAAATACTGTGGATTAGGCCATGCCTAAAACACTCTCCTCAAGCAAATTAAACCGTTTTTTAGAATGGCAAACTTTGATGCTACATAAAGACCAATTTATTACCTTACAAAGAATAGAATTTCCTGTAAGGCTTGTTATTAGCCAAATGAAGTGCTACTTTGGGGACTGTTAGGCTATTTGCCTTTAGAATATATATAAAACTGGTACTTTTTACATGCAGCTTTAAAATTTAAATTAAAGCTAAAGGTTTTTATATATAAAAATTCTAAACTGCTCAGAGGTGCTTTGTCCATTTTACTGCCTTGCAGAAGAAACGCATGAGTAGCTGCAGTGTTGCATGATGGTTGGGAGTTATTTTTAGCAGGTTGTGGGCAGACCACAACATCAGTGTGTCCCTAACTTGGTGGCTACTTGGGGGATAAAATTTTCATATGACAAAAAAGTGAAAAAATGGATTTCTTTTTGGTTTGATTTTATAGGTAATAGAGATGCTTTTTACTAATAACTGGGAAAGAGAACTTGGTTGCATTCTTTGTGCTCAGCAATTCTAGATCAATTTTATGTGTCAGGTGAGAGTGGCATTTTATATAGGGGTGTAGCATGCTACCAATCTGAACTGAGGTTCCAGGAAAGTGTCACTATTTCTGCTGTCACAGAAGATAAGATGGTCATTTTCCAAGGTGCAATTTAAAATAAATTTAGCTATAACACTGACTTAGCATTCCTTTAAAAAACAAACAAACAAACAAAACCCCCACACTTCAATTTTCTTGTCAATTTAAGATCTGGCTTCCCAGAAACATTCTTCCTGAAATAAATTATTTCATTAGTATGAGATTAATAATGGAAAAAAGCAAAACATCTCAAGCACTTGTGCTTGATAGATAGATATACAGCTTTGCATGCAGAAGTACAAGGAAGAAACTTGTGTAAATCCATGTTAGAGTTATACAGGAAGAATACAAGAATTAAGACTTTGAACCCAACACTGATTTACAGAGGCTGCAGCTGCTAAGTGACTGTACATTGCCATTGGAAAATTAATAATATGTCTAATGTGATGAAGTGGTGGGAAATACGGAAGCTGTTTAGTCCATAAATTATGAGGTCCTTCTTGCTTGCTTACAATTGTCATTGTAAGACCTCTATAAGTTGTTAGGCAAAATGTATTTATACCAGAAATACTTCTGGTAAATACATAGTGCTAAAGAAATTTCCTAAAGACCTGTTCTACAGTTTACTACATGTTTTATTGTGAAAAGCTTACAGAGGTGATGCACTTGCCAGGCTGCCTGTAAGTTAAGGGGTTTTTCTTCTGTTTGGAAAGCTTGTTTATTACAGAAATAAAAAAAAAAAAAGGGAGTGTCATACAAGGTAATAAGATACTAGACTGTTTATCCCTGTTTGTAAATGCTTTTATCAGGTGTAGATTAAATGGGATCAACAACTGTGGTCAATGTGTGAACTTGTTACTGTTTAGTAAAAATGAATCTGCTGTTTAGAAAACTGAAGTTGGATGAATATATTTACAATGAATATGCCCAACTCCAAATTCACACTCACATAGTCTTACATAATGTGAACTCTTCCGCTTGGAAAAAACCCCAAAAATACGTAGGGATAAACAAAGATGATTTTTGTTTTATAAGAAAGATGTCCTTAAGGATTTCCTTAATGTATCCTGCAGATATTCTGGTGAACATGCTAAAAAAAGAAAAAAAGAAAGCGCAAGATGCTCTTTTCAAGTTTAATGTTGCCTCTGCTGGTTCTAAACTCTTGGAGCAGTCTCTTTCTATAAACTTTGAAGAATGTAAGAGCCCATCTAGCTGTTTTAGCCGCCTGAATGAGGCAAAAGATTTCAAGTCTTCCATTCACAGACTCCCTTTTCTTTCCAGACAAACAGGTTAGTGTAATTAATAAGTAAGCAGTTATTGGATTAGTATAATATGGTTTACAGCATATAATTCAAATAGATACCAAAACAGGAAGGTTTTATTTGCAGTATCAGCCATATTGTGCTAATTCTATATCCACAAATGCAGGGTTTTCAATTTGTAGCCCTCTCCAGGTGCTGATGGCTTTTACAAACTGATACAAATACTCTGTTGGACAGTCCTACAAAACCAGAGTATAAATTCAGTTCCAGGCCTTTGAATGTTTGAGTAAATTCTCAGAAAAGGACTTTTTTGAGCATAATTAATTAAAAAAAAATACTAGGAAATAATATTTTTCCCCTGGAAGATTTGAAAATACTGACTTTTAACAGGAATCCAATCTCACCTGGAGCTGCAGATACTGAGTTCTTGTGCAGCTTATTAATTGTGCAGTATACTTGAACACCAATAAACATTTTTTTTTTAAATCTGACAGCCTAGGAGAGAAATCTTATCTTCAAATAAAATGAAATTTCATTAATTATACTTCTAGCTCTGATATCAGACTGTAAACACAAACCTGTTATGATTTATATTTTAAGATTTTTTTTTTTTAATGTTATACTCTTTAGATACCTGGGCTTTATTTAGCATTTTTAAGAAAGCATCTTGGTTTTTTTTTTTCCTATTGCTACCAAAAAAAAAAAAAAAAAAAAGTGATTAAGGGAACTGAGACCTTAGTTCCAGAAATGAGAAATAGCTCCATCTTTGTGCATGTTATTAGATTTAGTGAAATGGTACAAGAGAGCAAGACCTTAGTAAGTGTGAACAGAGTTAAAATTCTTATGCTTAATTCTTATATTTTTATTGTTTCTCAAGTGGTTTAATAATTCACATAGTTTGCAAACAACTTAGGTCTGAATTCATAAATAGTGCATTAATTTAGGATAGCTAAGACATTCAACACTGTTTTACCATGTGCCATGCCTTTGTCAGCAGATGAGTACTAGTTGTCTGTAGATAACTCATAAAAGGTTTTTATCTTTTATTATAAAGCCATTGTATTGTTATTCATACTTTATTCTAACTGAGCTATTCTGAAAAATTTAATAGGTGAGCATATCAAATAATGTTCATTGAAAAAAGAATCATTTGTGACAGATGGTTAGCACAGGGAATTTGCCACAATGAAGTACTGTCTTCGGTTAATCAATAAGTAAAAGTAAACATAATTGATTCCCATCCTGTTCAGATAATGAGTTTTAAAGGGACCTCTGTCTGGGATGAGAAGGTAATATGTTTTTAGACAAGACTTTTTTTATATGACCGCATTGCACATTATATATTTTTCTCATTCTGAAAGTAGCTGGAAACTTACTTCCTTCTTTGCAGTTTTCTTTACAGTGAGTTTTGGCTCAGGTTTTGAGATTCTGTCTCATTCCATATGAACATGAAAGCAATGAAGTCCTCAATAACCAAGAAGCTAAGTGTGAACATGAAAGCCCTCCCTTAAGTTCACTTATATTTAATTTATTTTTAAGCTTTTCAGTCATATTGCTTGAGGACTACAGATAAATAAGTTAATTTTGGATTATATTAGGTGTCATATATCTCTGTGTTCCTTTAGAGTGGCCTGACATTCTGCTACAAGTCTAGTCCCGTAATGCTGGCAGCATTTGGACTTACAATCTTCTGTAATGTATGGCCATTCTAATGATAATGCCTTGAAACATTACTTCTTAAAATGCTTGTGTTATTGTGCTCAGGGAATACTTAGAATGACAGACATAAAAAAGTAGTAGAAACATTGTTGATAATACAACATATAGCGCCTTGCAAGTATGCCTTAAACCCAGCCCCGGGAGAACAAGTCTTTCTAGAAGAATGTAACCGAGTGTCCAGGTTCTTTCATGCCTTTGTGTCTCTGAAAATCACAATATTTTCTACCTAATATATAAATAAATCTATTTTTCTCTTTTTTTTTTTTCCTTAAAATTTCAAAAGTAACAAGCTTCAACTTTATCTTCATATTGTAACTAACATTTATATTAAGAAATTCTTGTAGACTGGAAATTACATATTTTTCAAATCAGCTTGTACAGTTTTCCCAGTTTGATTCTCTGTGGTACCAAAAGACATGTTTGAGAAAAATTCACTATATAAACTTGTAAACGCATGCAGGCAGTTCATCTGAAATTGTTGAAAAGGTCTGACTGTGTACTTATACATAGTACACATAAAACCATCATATCAGATGTAAAGTTTTGCTACAGGAGAAGAATTTTAATGAAACTTAAATAATTTTTGAGAGGTATTAGAGATTTTCTTTAGTCTATAAAATTACATTTGAGATTTTTTTAAAATATTAAAATTGTATTTAAGATTTTAAAGTATGTATAAAACACCAGAATGGTGTTTTAATGACCCAAAACTTAGGAAAAATAAAACAAGCATTTAAGAACATACAGTGATAGAATAAGGTCAGTGTACACAAAAAAAAAAAAAGTTTTGAGAGTCAAAATAGAACTATAAATTATAAATCAATAGTATATGTAGAAAAAGACTGTATCCATATGAAGCATTCCACTGCCTTTGTAGGTCAATTACTGTTTTGAGATCCTTAGCTGCAAAGTACCATAAAACCTAAAGTGTTTATTACTATTTTTCTATAAAGCTATGACAGTGCAAAGATGCATTAGTGCATTCCTTGGCAGCCAAAAACACAGCTCTGTCTGCTAATGGCTAAGATATAGCTCTCTTTCCAGTTGGACTCAGACCTGAACACATTTTTATGATTCAGTCTTGATTAATCCCATTTGTTCTATCTAAGAATGAAGCAAAATATCTTGAAAGAACACCATCTGGTGAAAAGCATAGTGGTCAATTTATACAGCAAAGTAAGTTATTCGCAAACATGTAATTTTAATACTCTGATATCCACCAAATACATATTCTGACTTAAGGTTTTCCTTTTAACCTTCAAATTTCCGTATGGATTTGGAAAGCTTTCTCATCATGTTAAGTTTTTGACAGCCTACTGCAGCAATGAAATTGTCAACTGGCTGGGAAGGTTTGTGAAGGAATGGGAAAGAAGATTGATAGGGACCACTGCAAAAGTTTGAAGTGCTCTTAGGAGTTACAAATTACCATAGACCTTGTCAGGACTCATAACTAATTCTTCTAATATTGTCTTGGACTCTTCAGTTGATATGGCTATTAAAGAAATTCCAGAAACTTATATTATCAACTCCAAAAGTTATCAATACTGAATCATGCTATTTAAAACATGAGATTAAATATTCAAATAATTTGATTCTGGAGGAGCGAGCTTTAAAAGATACAGAGGTATAAGCAATATTTACTTTTAACTTTTTGGAAAACATATTCTTCTGCATACAAATTTTTTAGAACTATCTGAAACCATTCCTTGAACCTGATTTTACAAGATTTTAAGGATATGTTTCATTTTATCCATGTAAGTAATACCACAGAAATTAGGTATGTGTTTAAATCTTTATAGAAACAGCGATTCAAACAATGCAAAGTATATTGACCAGTTAGCATGGATTGTGTAAATAAAGGAAGGTTTTGTAGTGGTTGATTTAAAAGGGTTAACTGTTAAGCATTGCAGTTATCTTTCCTTACATCATCTAAGCTGGCTATTTATGACAATAAATAACAATTTTCTTGCAAATTGTTAGTTTCAAAATCCACACAGAACAAGTTCCAGTAGCTGTAGACAGATTTTTGTTGCATAGTTGCATGTTTTCTTTATTTTCTAATTGAATTGTTCAAATAAAAAGACATATTGGTGTCAGTAGGATATAGAAGTGCTTATTTTTTCATTAGTGAGAACATGCCTCATCCTAGATTATCATATGTAACTTCTACGTATTCATAATTTACATTTCTGTATACTGGTTTTTGAGTTTTGTGAGGATTTTTTTAACTGAAGGGAGAATCTTTAGCTTAAAATTCAGACAGGAGCCTTCCTAAACTCTGCAGTTTTTAAAACGTGTGATTCAGGAAGAGAATTAAGAAGTCATTAACATAGTGAGATTATCAAAAGGCAAGATGAGATTCCACACAAGAGGCTATTGATGAAGCTGAGTAGTCAGTAATTAGGCATAAAATACTGCTTTAATAAATATTTAAGATTACAAGGAGATTATATTAAAACTCCTTCTTGCTTTATACCAGCCCAGTGATAAAAAAATCAGGATGAATCATACAGAAGTTTATATCATGGATTTTTCCAGTGAGTGTTTCACATATTTTTTAGAATTAACGCTGCCATGCTGCCATTTACCACACAGAATACAGGGCTAGATTGATCTTGCATCTCTGTTCCCTTATGGCAATGGTTATGTGTGTTTGTTCTTAATTTATCTCTTAAAACAAAGGAGAAATTGAGAATTTATTTGGAGATTTCCTTCTTATACCTCTCTCTTACTGTGTAGAATACTCTTCCCTATTGCTTCTTTCCATTCCAAGTTACTCAGCTGCTGAGGAAATCCCTTTGCCTCCTACTTTTCCTATGTATCACACTCCTCCTCATTTTGTAGGAATAATTTATTTGGTGTCATAATAGTATTAACTAAATATAATTATGTCCTTGTAGCACAAAGCTTTGGATAACTCAGAAATATGTTTGCAAAAAGTAGCTGTATTTTATCAACAAGTGACTAGTATAATTACATCTTTTATGTAATTCCATTTATTCTGTAGTCTTTAAATAAGAGTCTCAGAAGCATTAGCAAATTCTCAGCTTTGATACTATGCTCTCTCTTTTTGCAAACAATTGTGTGTGTATGTAGACGTGAGTTTTCTTTGAACACAAAGTAGGAACCAGCATGTCAGCTCAAATTGACTGGACTGTTGAACTTTATCTACTGCACTCTGCACTGCCAGCAACTGATATTTCAGCAAAAGGTTGGATGATGACCTGACTTTGATTCTGTCTTGACATTTCATCAGATAGAAAAAAGTGGAAGTGAGGTGTCATTGTCACTCGAGCAGGGAGTTTCGT